ATCTATCTATCTATCTATCTATCTATCTATCTATCTATCTATCTATCTATCTATCTATCTATCTATCTATGATTTAATGTAATCCTGTAGTTTCTTTAGTCAGACGAATAATCCTTTTAATTGTCAATTTGTTGAATTGGTCTGGACTGAGGTGGACTGGACTATAATCGGATTAAATAGGGTTGTGTTGAATCAGAATTAGTTTTATTAAACTGGACTATGCAACTGGATCCTACAAACTGTTCATTTCTTGAGCCCAAAACCTTATTGTAAAATGTTTATATAAAATGAACTGAAATTTATTTGAAGCATTTGAGTAATTTATCATTTATGTTTTGATTGAAGGTGTCCACATTGTTAAACAAAGTGGGCTCAGATTAGACACCATATTTGGTTTGTATTTATTTGAGGGAAAAAGAGCATTTTCCATGTTTATCTTTAGAGAATGTAAAGACTGAGGGTGTCATAAATACCAATGGAGTATTAAACACAAAAATATCTGTTTTTGGTAAGTTGTAAAGTGTAGCTATAGTTTATAAATATTATGTCAATTTCACCAATAATGTATTTAACTATTACACTGTAATAAATAATTTTTATTGGAATACTTACTGGATCACTGTGCCACCATATCTGTGTGACGTACGTACCCGCACGGCACACGCATTTACCGCGCGCGGTGTCATCCTTGAACACGCAGTCAGGTGTCGCACCTCTATCACGCTGCCGGCGACGCCCCTCCTCGATAGGCGGCTGCAACGTCAACCTTTATTTATTTGTTTATTCATTTGACTCGCAGGGACAAGATGTAAAGGAACGTATGACGTAGCGCGAGCGCCCCAACGCGTGTATGTGTATGTGGGCGTGGAAGAAATTAACGTGCGGCGCGCGCGAGCGGAGGGGAGAGGAGGAGTAGAAGCTGGTGGAGTAGCTGCGGCACACAGACGGATGTCAGCGGCTGTGAGGTGTAGCTCCAGTTAACAACTGGGAAAAGTGCCCACTGCCCAGTTTGATGCGGAATACACAGCTGTAGGTGTTAGCAGTCCGTGGAGCTCCGCGTTTTGAACGGTCCTCCACGCGCCGAAGCCCCCCTCCCTCCCTTCCTTCCTGGATGTAACGACGTTTCACCATCACCACCAGGCAAGAGGAAAAGAAGAAGAAGCCGCTCGTGTGACCGCTGGTTCGGACCACCATTTCAGGTGACTTTAATCGGTCTGTGTGGTTAGCGACTTCTTCCACCGGCGGCTAGTTTCACGACACACATCCGCCTTTGCTCCTCTAGCTAGCGGCTCAGTAGTGGACCCCCACCCGGTGGGGGTTAATTATTTTAGGGGCCTTCTAACGCTACAGTAACCTCCGAGCTTTAGTTTAAAAATGATGTAACTACAAGCTAAACACGCGTCTCTGCCAGCTAACTACAGAGGAAGCCTGAGGCGCGACGACATTAACAGTTTTAATGTCTGGTTTCTTCTTTTACCCGGTCCAGCGGGTTGACCGCTGGTAAAAAATGTACATGACCGTGGTCTGCAGTGAAAGCACGAGACAGAAGCGGGCGAGGACGCCACCAGAGTCGGTCCTCAGAGGCTGGAGGATGATGCAGCAGACCCGCATGTTGCTGCGGGGTGTGGTTGGCAAACAGGACGAACATCCTCCCTGTAGCAGCACCCTTTCATCTCCTGTTTGTTAGCCCATTAGAGGGGCCGACCACATCACATTAAGCCACTCTCAGCATCTTCCAGCATATTTTTGTTATTTTATGTTTTACTGTCCAGCAGGCTCTTCTGCTTACTGTCATAACAGGTCAGCTGTTGTGTCAGGCTGCTCTGGAGTCTTGTAAATCTGCCCCAGTAGACAGCCAGCATGTGCTGCACACACTTATCAGAGGCTGTTGTGGGGGCGTTTGAATTAATCTATAATGCTTATTTAAACATGAAGATGTGCTCACTGTCTGCTTGATTTTCATAGCTATTAGTCATCTCTGTTAAAGAGAAAATTTGTTCTTGACATTTGCTGCTTAGAATCTCCCACTTCATTTCACTAAGGACGGGAATCTTTAGGGAGTCAGTTACAATTTAGAGCAGTGTGGTCGGGCCCAAAGTGGGGTCCCGAAACATCAAGGTGGGGTCCTGAAAAGATTTTCTGAATTAATTACATTTTTGCCTTAGTTGTTACAAAGGAGTGAGGTTAGTGTGTTTAAAACGGATAAATGTAGTATAAAAATATTGTTACTATGCCCATGTTTAGTTGACCTGATACAAATGTGTATCATACAAAAATAGTTGGGGGCACAGGTCTCTGCTACTGTTATTTTGTGGGTCAAAAGCTGAAAGGTTTGTGGGAACCACTGCACGTTGGTTCCCAAAGTTGGGCTTGGGACCCAATTATTGGTCATGAAGCACCTTGGATAATCTCCAGAAATCAATTTAAAGGGTAATAAAATAATTGCTGATGTAATATTTTCCCTATAACTATTACAAAAACACAAAAAAGTATAAATAAGTATTTATATTTGTSTAYAAGCTGTTTAGATTGTCAAAAAGCCTGTGTTTTTAGGGTTATTAACAAAGTTCGTGTACTCAGACCAGTAATATTTGGGGTCACAAGTTTTTGCCATGAATATTTTGCGGGTCAGAAGATAAAAAGTTTGGGAACCACTGATTTAGAGGGTTGCGATAGAATTTAAAATGATTATTGATACATCCTTAATCACACCTTCAAAAAACCCTGAGCAAAGAATCTCTCAGGCTTAAAATGCACAAAATATTTAGCTCTGCACTGCAGCAAAAAGCAGTTTTCTCTCAAACAGGATTATGGGAACTAAATGAACAAAAGGAGTCAAAATGCTAAGTACAGTGATATAAGATTGTGTATACAGCGATGTCCATCACACCTCTCGTGTTAGAGCTGTTTCACAACATTGTTTTTGGCCTCGTAGTAAAGTTCAGGGATGGCTGAGAGTTTTCTCAAAGTCCTGGTATTCAACCACTGAATGCAGACGCAAATGCTTCACGATAAAAGTTGCGTTGAACTTTGTAGTTTGCTCGCCTTTTCCAGATCTGGTGGAAACTTCCACACTTGAGTTAAACGATAGATGATATTTTGACACTTAGAAAATGATTCAGAATCATTCCTGTCCACATCGCGATGCACTGGAAAAATAATTTATAACCTCACTCTACCTGTTACCTACTTCCTCCACTTCTACTCTTCTAACATTATTGGTTAGACTTATTTCTTATTCCTAATCCCATCTCACCCTCCATTTCCCTGCAACTCTCAGCGTAAAGCTATGCACGATAGGAATAATTCACGGGTCTTTTATGCTTGCGTATATGACAGTTATTACAACATTTCTTTAGTATTTGAAGAAAAAAATACAGCTTTATTGTTAATGCAGTGACATTCTGAGGGAATGACGTAATTTTTTGCCTTCATACATTTAGATGCACTTGTGTGCAAAAGTATACACACATGCAATTATTGGCCTTATTCAGGCTGAAAGCACATAATGCCTCTGGACAGATTGAGCATAATTGCACATTGATAAGGTGTTTAAAGTCTGAGCAAGAAAACCAGCAGTACAATACAAGTAAACAGGGCCTAAAWCTACAGTAGAGAGAAACTTTGTTCTTATTTGTTAGGGTTGACTAATCATCAGGGTCACTTACTTGTAGTCATTAAGCTTTCATAGTAGTTTTCAGGTCACATACTCCTCTGGTGTTGCTCTTGGCTGGGTCACAGCCCTTTAACGTGTGTGTGTGTGTGTGTGTGTGTGAGGACTGAAAGGTTGTCTGGAGTGTTGNTGTGTGAGGACTGAAAGGTTGTCTGGAGTGTTGCCAGACCTTTTCTGATGCTCTACAATCTGCTGATGTGAGTCAATGTATGTCAGTGTGTGACAGCATATGAGTTTCGGCACTACACAYACACGTCCAGTATTAAACTAAGAGRACATATTCTGTATGGCAGCCTGTCCCTCGTGGTGAATTTTTTTAAACTAACCCATCGTGTGTGTTTCAGTGATGTTCGGCTAAAGTTTGACAGTGTCGACTCGACGTGTGTGGTTCATCTGGCTTTGAGGAAGCCCCTCTGTGTAAGTGTGCAATAAACTTGTGGTTGTTCCAGAGACATATGCTTAACATGTTAAATTGTTTAAAGCCAGAAGTGAGCTTTTAAAATGTAAAGTAACAATGATCATTATCTGTAAGGCCTGCAGAGCTGAGCCAGAACTGTAATGATCCAGGAACAGGCCAAGGCCATTTCTAAAAACAATTCAGTGCTTTAAAACATAGTTGTAAGTTAGGACTGTGAACAGATAACTGAAATATTTAGATTTGTCATGATGAAAGTGTCTTTGAGTATCCTAAAAAGCAATCTAACTTTGATGTAGTAATATTTTTATTATTATGAGACTGTAAAATTTTTAAACAGACAAAAGTTTGCCTGCCAAATGGCAGGCAGATAAACTTGTTTTTGTTCCCTCTAAGGATTTTAAGTATCACATTATCAACCGTCTCCAGCCCTTGCAACTGAATTCTTAACTTACCAGATTAGTTACTAAATGGTTTCACAACTTACATTCGTAGCCAGATCTTTCAACTCAATTCTAAAAGCCCTGAAGTGTGTCTTGAACACATCGTGAGGATGGATTTCCTGAGAAAGTTTGTCACATCTTATTCAGCTTGATATGGAGATAGAGGTTGAAACATAACAATTTATCTAACTTTTCCGTTGCCCCACATTCACTGTTACAGTTGCAGATGTCTCATTGCCACTTTTACAATCACTTCTTTACTGCAGCTTTTATTAAGCGCTCCAGCTGATTGTATTCACTGTTTACATGGTTCTTAAAATGGCCTTTTTGTTAATTTATAATTAGATTATGTAACTTGTTGCAAAACAATAGTTCACCAGTTTTTTTTTTACATCATACTTATTGCTTAATTCAGTCAAGAATGCAAGATTTTTTTCAGGCCTTTATGGGTCATAGTAGGAATGGTAAAGACAGGTCATTTGTCTCTGTTGAAAGGATTTTTTCCTCTCTGAGGCTTGTTGCAGAAAGTAAGCTGTCTTTACTTGATCTAGATGAGGTAATTTACGGTCTCCGGCCTACGCTGGCTTTCGTTTGGTTCTCTGAACAGTAAAGGTGTTTGTTAGCGTCACAGTGCCCCTATAAACTGTTCCAGTCCCCATATAACATTCCTGGTTTTCAATGAGCTATAAACGTTGGGAGTTAGTGCCTGTTTGCCATCCTGGGAACATGTGGCTCTATAAGGATTTCTGGGCACTGTGGGTGTTGTGTGTTTTTGAGTCAGCGTTCATTTGTTAGTTAAATTAACAGTTAATTTTTTTTATTCCTACCTATATGTTTGGATAAATATTAAATAGAAACAATTACCAATTAATACCAGAAAGCCACCTTTTAACCTTTTAGTAACAGTATTGCACTTTCTTGAACTGAATCGACATTTCTTTATGTTTGAGTGTGTGACTATTGTCTGAACTTTGTTGTTTAAACTAGCAAATACAAATAAAAAGTGTTGAACGTAGGATTGATATGCATAAGATCGGTGAGAAACAAAGTTTATTTCAGCCTCTTTAATAAAAAACAAAAATCTAATGCCTCTAAGCCATTTCAGTTTAATGACACAGATGGGTATAAACATGCTGAAAATGGTGGCAGGCGTGACGGTGCACACAAAATGTTCAAATTTACATGCAGTTTTCTCCACACCACTAAACTCTGACTCTACAAATAGAAATGCGTTTGTTATTTATGTGAATACACGACGAGGGCTTTTGGTGCAGATGTGAATATGTGTCAGCTGTGACTGTTTCTAGCTGTTCAGCTGAGGGCTCAGAGAATGAGTGCCTGTGTCAGAGCTCTCTGTGTGTGAATGATTTCTGTCTCTGCGTCTGTCTCTGTGTCGCTGAATGGGAGTGCGATCAGTAGCATCGTCGTTCGAGAGAGACTGGGTGGAGAGATGGAGCAGCTCAGGAAGTGTTGGAAAGAAGAAGAGATGGTTGACGCTAGGAAAGGTCTAGGATATTCTTTTTTCCTCTGTTTCTTTTGTTATCTTGCTTGCGTATCGTCTATTCCCTTACATCAGTTTTTGATTCGGTTTCTCTCCCATCGTCTCTGGTTATCACGCTGAGTGCTGTGTGCAAATTCATTTAGAAGCTTCCTCGCACGCTAGCATCGATGTATCTCTCTGAGCCGACCTCAGCTAAAAGAAGAGTACCAGATTACATCATTTGTGCCTGCATGCATGCTTTTTATGTACAACCATCATTCAGTTCATGCAAATTCCTATCCACTGTTAAGATTGAATTTTTCCCCCCATCGTCCTATGCAATGGGAGGATGAAAGTATTTAAGAACAAGGGTTGCCTTGGTAACAATTTCTGCCTTCTGTGTATGTTGGATGGATGCGTAGACACAGATGGAAGCGTCTAAAGTCTGAATGCTTCTCTCGTCGGAGCATTATTTATTTAATAGCTCAGCAAAAAGACTCTGAGGTTACTGGATTACAATTCTGTCCAAGTGCAGGTTAGAGGAGTCTGTTTTCAACTCAGTGAATTTGTGTTGTTGGAGCTACCCTACAGCAAAATATGCTATAAAAATGCATGCCCTCAGCTGGAACAATGTAGTGGAAAGGATAACAAATTATTTATTTAATTCCTACTGGTTTTGCATTGGTTTGTGTGCCAGTTACCTTTGTACATCTTAGTCAAAGGCAGTGCCAGATATTTAGATTTTTTTTTACTTGATGAAAATACAGCGTTTATTTTTAGAAAGCCATATAGTTTTGATGTAGTAGTAGTTCCTTTAAAAGCAGTTAAACAGTAGTCATTAGCTCTGGTAATCTTTTATTTAAAAATAAGAATGAAATAAATCTTAATTGTATTGTGCTGATTGTGGAAGTATTTAAGGCACGTTTGTACAAAATCCATAAGCTTTTTGTTCTGCCTGTCTATCTATGACAACAGGTTAGGTACTAGAGTTAAAAAAATGGACAAATGTATAAATCTAATTTGGCAATATTTACTTTGCCAGTGTGTATTTATTAAACATGAATGAAAACAGGAATAAAAAAAATGTAAAATGCTGCTAAAGTTTCAGTGCATAAATAGTTTTATTTTATTTTTTTATTATATAATTGCTTTTGACACACCCAATACGAAAGCAAATTTAAGAGCCAGGTTGAGAAACTTGTCACTCAAGAATTACGGTAAGTCAATAGTGTAGAGCAGAGGAGTTGTTCAGTCCTGGTTCTCGCGACTCACTATCCTACTTGTTTCCGTGCCCTGACACACCTGATTCAGTGATTGAATTACCTTTTAATGTTCTACACAAGGCTGTTAATCACCCATTCATTCAAATTAGGTTTGCTGGAGCAGAGAAACCTCAAAAACAGAATAGCATTGGACAGACCTGTTTAGTGTATGCTAGTTTTGTTGTGGCAGCAGTTATAGGACACAGCTGACAACATTTTTGACCTGACTAAAATGATTGTCAGTAGCTGAATTATTTCTTTACTACGACCTACTTTTTGCAGATACTTTGTGGAAAATGGGAATTGTCATAGTTGTCTTTTTTAAATCAAAGACAAACAAGCAAAAATAAATTAAAGTTTTAATTCGCTTTATTTTGATATTTTGATCATGTGATGTGATATTTATGTGTGTGCTTTGCTGTGTGATTGCAATATTTTGTGCAACTTCATTGTAAATACAACAAAAAAAGCAATGGAAAATGTAAACATTAAGAGAAAAAATACTAACCTTAGGTTATTTTCATTGGACTCCATCACTACAGGATGTTTGTGTTTAATTAATTTCCAAAAAATGTGTGATGCATCTTAAGTTTGTTTTAAATAGAAACAGAGGAATATTGAAACCTTTTGAAGTGATGCATTTATTTGCATAAAGAAAAAGATCCAGGTGTATTCTACTGACATTTAAATGAAATGGTGGTGGCCAGACACATTTTCATGCACCGCGAAGCTTCTCAGTGGAGTTCAGGGAGCGAAACAGGACGATGATAAATGGCCCTTGTGTGTGTAAAAAGAAAAGGGTGACAGAGGAGAGTGTAAACGTTGTTCTCAAAATAGTCTGCTTTCCTAGGCTGTGGTGTGTCATGTGAACTGGACCCTGCGTGTTGTACAGGTTTATTTTTTAATAACCCAGTTTTGAACACTGACTCACTTTTCCCATTTTCTTTCTTTTTTGCTTGTCTGCTTCTGTCTAACAGAAAGTCCCAACATCCTCTAGCAACGATGTAGGTGGTGGTGGAGACATGGTGTTTATGGTGATGCAGGGCATTTCAGGGAGGAGGAGCAGTGACTGACACTCTCCTCCGTTTGCCACATCCTGCACTCCATGTCTGTCCTGAAAGGACAGCGAGAGTGCTATGTCATCAACCACACCCCCTTCGGCCCAACCCTCTAAAAAGGGAAGGAAGCCGGAGAAATCTGAGGTGATGGCCGATTCACCGCAGGCCACCAACGAGGAACTCAGGAGCAAACTCATGGACATTCAGATCGAGCTGCAACAGGAACGGGGCAAGGTGAGATGGGGGAGGAAGAAAAGGAGGGGTTGGGCACAAAACTAAAAACCTCGGTACAGGAATCTTTTTCTTACAAATATGCTGTTGAGAGTGACAGTTATTCATTAACTGTTATGTTTCTCCTTCCTAACATAAAGGTTCACATTTTCCACGGAAGGAGTCAAAATTGTGTGTAAAAACAGCTAACGGCAGTTAAGTCAGGATTTTATAGTATAATGCTTAGACACAAACCCTTCTTATTGAAAAGGCACATGATTGTAAACAAGCATTTGCCAAAAATCAAATGGTTGCAGAAAAACAAAATCTTTATACAAACCGGTTCCAGAAATGTTTGGCTGTCAAAGTATACAATTCAGCAAGCAATGATCTGTAGTGTTATGTCAAGTGGGGATAAGCAGGTTATTTAACTTGTCAAACTTGACTTGATTTGCACGTAAGACATTATTCTTATCAGTGACAGCTGTCATTAGTATAAATTTAGTCATATCTGTTGTCTTCCTTCTTTTGTTTTATAAACTCATGGTAGTAAAATATGCTACTCTGCAGTTTGGTAATATTGAGGGCTGCTGAAAATCTTGAGATGACTGAACTCAGCACAGCTGTGCATCAAGCAATCCAGCATTGTTTAGCATGAATGCTTCTGCGAGAAAATAGAAAGTTCAAAGGAAAGCTACCCTTCACTTGTAGGATCATACTCAGGAAACAGTGCTATTTGTCTGTACTTGTATCCTCCTCCTGACAGTCAGGCTTCCTCTGTGTTCTCTTTATATCTAGGCAATGACAGTAAAAGCAATGAAAGTTTGCTTTTAATGAAGCACAAACCTTTAAACACACTTACTGTGAAGTGAAGATGCATAATGTTTCTTGATGCCTCTTCTTCTTTGACATATTCTTCTCACAGGTCTGTAAGCTCCGTGAGCGTCTGCAGGAACAGCGACAAGCTCGGGAGCTTGAGCAGCACAAACATGCCGTGGCGCTCACTGACCTGCGCGCCAAACTCCACGAAGAAAAGCTGCGTGAGATAGCGACTGCCCGCGAGGCCCTGGCGCGGCAGCATGAAGTCGAGTTGGCCCGGGCAATCAAGATCCGGGACGCGGAAGTGCAGAGGCTCCAGGGTCTTGTAAATGCACTGAGGGATGGAGCAGCTGACAAACTCAAAAATGCTCTTCTTGCTGAGGCTCGAGAGGAGGCCAGGAGAGCTTTTGATGGGGAGAGAATAAAGCTACAGCAGGAGGTAGGTTTAATCATGTATGTGAGTGATCTGAAGCTTCTGAATGGACTCATTCTTCATGTATAAGTAGTTTCTCTTTGCAGCTCACAGAAAAAAGGATAGTTTTTGAGGATTTTATTTTTCCTTAAGCACTGTGATGATAAAAACATATTTTGTGGGACAATCTGGGAGTGTTGTTGAATATGTGTCCACATTCTTGTAGTGCTTCACACACCTTAGCAAATTTGCTGCTGAAAAACAGGAAGCAAGTTTCAAAAGTTTGTTTCCAGGCTATTGTTTCACTGTAACTTCCCCGGACGAACAGGGCATAACAGTCTAATGAAATCACGAGAGTAAATAAATGTTTGAATCTTTATTGCTTTCTTGTGCTTATTTTGAAGTGTATTGATGTTTTTATTGTGTGTATGGGGGTGGGGGTGTTTCTTTAGATTCAGGAGCAGAAATTGGCCAGGAAACAAGCTGAGGAAGCATTGGCAACCGCTCTTCAAGCTGATAAAGCCAAAGCAGTTGATCTCCGCACAGCTTATCAACAGCACCAAGATGAGGTGCATCGCATTAAGCGAGACTGTGAGAAAGACATCCGTCGACTGGTAAGACCACGTTAAACCAGGATGTGCAGGACATGCCTTTAGACGTGTGTTTAGGTTTTCAGATAATAGTTGTTATTAGTTAATAATGGACATATGCTAAAGACTACTGTAGTTTCATATTTTCACTTGCACATTAGCTGTCATTTTTAGGTGGATTCATACTAGACAGGTCAGCAATCTAACACAGGGTTATAACAGAAAACAGAAAATACACTCAGGCCCTGTTTAGAAACACTAGTTAAACTAAATTTTCTTCATTTGTCCTCCTTTTATTCATTTTCTTCATACTGCACAGTAGATGGTCATGGTCAGCTAAGAAAACTGAAAAAAAAACCTTCAATAATTCTGGAAAATGTTGATTAACACACCTTAATAAATTACTAGAAAGTATGGCTCCTTTGAAACAAAGTGTAAGAAATGAGGGATGATTTTCAACCTTTGCACCGTACTGTGTAACTTAATGTGTGGATAAGTACTATAAAATAAGAAGTTATGCTTTCCCAGTAACAAATTTCTGTTGTAGAATTGCCAGTTAAACACAACAGCTGTTATTTTTATGATTCACATCTGTCCTGACTGTATTTGAATATTATCAAGAGTCTCCAAACCAACATCTGTTTTCCTTCTGCTGTAGTTCAGTTCACCTCAGAGCTTTTCTTACTAATATTGTATGAAGGTTAGAGGCCAGCTGTGCTGCCTTTTTTTAAATCTCCACCATGTTGTGCTTATCTCTAAGAATAAAACCTCATATACCTGCTTCGGTTAGTCATAAACCTCTCCTCATACAGCAGGGCTATAATAACAGACATAAGTAAAGGAATGCCTAAGTGGGAAAACAAACAAAAAAAATCATTGTTGACAGATGAAAAGAAGGCAGCACAGGAAATACTGGCGTTAAAGAAAAAACTACAGAGGGAAGTAGAAGCGATAGCAATGCCAGACTTACTTGTGTGAAGTGAGGTAAAGAATAAAGCTCCTAAAGTTAAACACGACTAAAAACCATGTTTTAAAACTAGATTATAGGACGGTAGTTCTATTTCAAAGCTGTTTTCAATTTGTATTCCACAATGATCTCAATATATCTGCACTCTTGTCATTTATTGTCAGCATTTTTGAAAAAATTTATTTGTCTTTATGAAACCTGCTTGTTTGATTCACTAACTCAGAATAACCTTGTCCTGTCCACACCTCCTGTAGATGGACGAGATAAAGGCGAAGGATCGGGTGGTGTGTGCTCTGGAGAGAGAGCTGGGGGTGCAGGCGGGCTACGCCCAGAAGCTTCAGCTTCAAAAGGAAGCCCTGGATGAGCAGCTGGGTCAGGTACGAGAGGCTGAAAGATACAACCATGGCAGCCCCAAGCGAGAGGCGGTCCCTGGGCTTGGAGAAAATCCAGACTTGCTTAATAACCAGGTATAAACACACACAGAAAGCCATATGCATGCACTTAACACATCTACGGTGTATGTGTGCATGAAAGCATTCATACTCATAAAGCCACACGTTTATAAAGAAAATGTGTATTTTAAGGAAATTAAGGACAAATTACAGTTATTTTTTAAAACTTGTTTCTTTTGTTTAGTGTTGTGTTCATAGATTATAATGTAGTGTGTTTAATATAAATTTATGTTTAACTTGTAATTAACTTTAATAGAGTTTTTTTTAACATGAAAACGATTTAAGAACACTAACTGACAGGTACATTAATAACCAGTTGTTGCATTGAGGCTGACTAATTTCCTGACATGTTGCAGCATATCAGGAAATTAGTCCATCATCTATTTTAAATCTCTTTCTAGATTCTAATTAACCCAGTAAAAAGATTATTGGGTGCAGTTTGTTTGTGTTGACAAACAAAAAAAAAACATTAAAAAAAAGAAAAAAACGATTACTTTCACCCAGTTTCACACTTGGAAATGGCAACTCACCTTGCCTCCCTTTTCCTGTCCACCTCCATTACCTGTTTGCCTGCATGTTCTCCCTTTTTTAGTTATTGTCTTCCTCCTCCTCCTCCCCTCTCCCCACTGCTCAACAGGAGGTGGAGGAGCGCGACATGAGGAGGTTCCAGCTGAAAATCGCAGAGCTTCACTCCGTCATTAGGAAACTGGAGGACAGAAATGCACTGCTGGCAGACGAGAGGAACGAACTAGTGAGGAACATGCATGTGGTTTTAGGCCACACCAACTTCACACCTATTGTTAGCACAGATATATACTGCATATTAAACACATGTATTTGTCTATGAAGTATGTATTTAGACATTTTGCCCTGATCCTTCCTCGCCTAAACAAAGCCAAAATTCTTTGTAGGCAAAGGTCAAGACTTAAGATTACAGTGTTTCCCCACCCTGTTTCCTTCCTCTGTTCAGCTGAAGCGGGTGCGAGAGGCAGAGAGCCAGATGAAGCCCATGTTTGAGAAAAATAAGCGCCTGTCCAAGAAGAATGATGACCTCTTGCAGACGCTGCAGCGTATGGAGGAAAAACTCAAGAATTTGAGTCGTGAGAACGCAGAAATGGTGATTTGAACCTACCTACCTTTTTATTTGATAGAAAACAGTACGCCTTCTGGCAGTTGGAAACATTAAACATAGTTTGGCCTGTGTTTCCCTTCCTCAGAAGGAAAAGGCTTCCTCCTCCCGGCCACCCTCGCAGCAACAATCCACTCAGCCTCATTTAAAACGAACGAGCTCCCTGACTGACCTTACTCACGCCCACGAGGAACAGGAAGTGGAGTTCCTCAAGCTGCAGGTTGCTGAGCAACGTGGCATCATTGATGAGCTCACGCAGGTCAGGATTTTATTCAAAACGCTGGGGTCACGTAAATAAATCTGTCACTTTCCTTTTGTTTATTACTTTATTGATGCAGAGAGCCTTGTGAGCAATACTTTGGCTTTTCATATAAGCTCCTAACATCAATTCATCTTCAAGATTTCTTCAGGAGAATTTTCWTCCAGGCCAATCAGCAAACAGAAGGCGGCGTTATGAACGAGGTCGATTTTTTGTGCAGTGTCTGCTAGTTAGTTAAACAATGGCAGTGGAGGAAGTGAATAAAGCCAGTCCATGTTGATAAGGCTCCCAATTTAAGTTAAAATTGTCTGACAAAGCAGCAGCTCTCATTTACAGTCGTCTCTTTCAGCTCGGTACTCCTCTCCACTAAGTAGGGTTGTTTACAGCGCACGCAAATATCGATTAGCTTCTTAGCTTAGCCTCCCTCACAGTGGAGCTGACGTATACATACGTCGCGGCCAACCAATCCAATCATTTTAAACTTAAGCAGAGGCCACGCCTCCAGCAAGAATCGCTTCTCTATAGCCGAGAGTCCAGACCCTCATATGAAGCAAAGTGAAGAACAAGGGTCTGGTTTTAACCAGGCTAGTTTGTTTAAAGGAGACCAATTATGGGTCCTAGAAATTTTTATGGTATGTCTGTGGACTATCCAGACCATGTTCATTCAATTTAATGCACAAAATAATTCTCAGATAATAAAATTTCCCATTTTCTAGTTCTGCCTGCTCTGACTTCCGTTCAGAAGAGCTGTTTATGTTAATGAGCTCTGTTGGTAACGCCCTCCAAAAATCTGTTGACATTAACTCCGCCCTCCAAAGCCAGTGTTTACGTTAGCATGGCTAATAATAGCAGAAGCTCCATTGTACAAACATATGAGAGACCCAGAGGCAGAGTCGTGGTCCCAGCTTTGTTTTTTTTTTTTTTTTTTCTCCCTCTGCTCTGTGCTCACTCTGCATGCTGTTACAAGAGCAGTGGGCAGCAGCAGCGGTCAAAAGACCTCAGAAACTCGAACAAATAGGCTTTAACAAGGCTTTAATAAGCTAAACAATAGAGGTACATGAGAAAATGTGTTCATAACGAGCGAAAAAAAAATAGTGTCCGAGCCGGTCTCCCGCTGTCTGGTCCAACACTCTACCCATTGCCCTATTGGAGACTTGTTGTGAAATGAGCTGCGCATTGCACAACAACACGGTGACGGCTTTTTATATTAAGGAGGTGGAGCCTCACCCGGGGGTTGCTAGGTAAGAGGCTGAACGCAGGTTCCAGTGGGTTGTTGTACGGCTTGTGATGTCACAAAATGACGGAAGTATAAAACTTGTCGTTAATATACATTAAAAATACATTTACTTATAGTAAATATGCCTCTGGGTGCATTCTTTTGGTCCTAGGACTGTTTTTTTAAGAAGTACATACCCAAAGTTGAGTAAAAAAAAACTTTAAAAAGTGAGTTGCATAATAGGTCCCCTTTAAAAGTTTAACTCGTCTCAAACTCCTAATTTTTCAAATTAGAGTATTATATACATGTGGTCTAAAGTTAGAAAACATTGACTGAACACTGGTGTATAAAGTGTTTTATTATGCTCACAGGTCAGTTTTTGATCAGTCTTTGATTTTTGTGTTGTTACAATAAAGTCAGATTTGCTAAAGATGAATTATGAGGTGTTTATTTGGTGTTTGCTTACCTTTAAGGAACGTGACAAATTCGTGACGAACAAGAAAAACCGAAGGAAACCACCCAAGCTGGCAAAAGTAAGCATCCATAATGTTTTAAATCTACTAATAATCCAACAATGTGTAACTAAGCAACCGTCCTTTCTGGGGTTGATGGATCCTTGAGTATTTCCTCAGTTGGTAGTCTGTGTGTGTGTGTGTGTTTGTGTTTAATTGGGCTCATGGGACCGTGATGGCAGCATGAGGATACTCCTCTCCTACTTGAATGATTTCCACTGCAATTTTTTTGATGTTGTTAATTTATTTTCTCTTTATTTTTTTTGTTATTGTTGGATAATTAACACATACTGAAGAAGCACCCATTTTTTTGTGTGAAGTGAAAGTGGACAAAATAGTTGCTTTGTTGTGCGTCTGTGCATTTGGGAGGGTATGCTTGGACTCATTTATCAAGTGACATTTTGGTGTTTGTGATGTTGCTAGGAGGAGGGGTTTGTAACTACATGACATATATTTTGCTCCCACTTTTCTCCTCTTGGATCCAGATTTTTAGTTTGTGGTTTTAGAACAGAGGAACAGTTCGCTGCTTGAATTTTGGAGCTGCAGGCAGAAATTTCAGTCACTTTTTGGGAATCTAAAACACAGGCAGAATACTCTAGAAGACCTAAACAGAAGCTGACCTAAGGGTTTCTTTAAGGAGTGGTTGGATTGTTACCAGAAACTTCATTGTCTGCTTTTTCATTTTGTGTGGGAGTACAAAAGAACAAAAATCCTTTTTGAGATTACCGAAGCCCTGGATTATATTTTATAGATTAACTACTTTAGTGCAAGAGATAATAGACCTTTTTAAAAAAAAAATTTCTAGGACAGTGTTTTCTTATAGACCATGACAGAATATATCCTCCTTATCATCTATTTTTCCGCCTTCATTTGTTTGTGCGCCCTGGTCTGCCTTTATTTTTCTGGTTGCCAGGAGATGACTTACAAACATGATGGTAAGAACGTTGTGGGAAAAACTAATAAGAACGAAGTGAAGATGCAATGACGTGATCTGGTTTATATGAAATTTGATAATTCATAGGTTGACACTGCTTGCCTTTTGTAATGTTTTAGAGAAAATGCTGGTAATTTATAACATATGTTTGGATTTAAAGAGGCTGATTTTTGTGTGCATTCTCTGCAGAGGCATGTTGTGGAGACATATTTTGGATTTGATGAAGAGTCAATAGACTCTGAGACATCATCTCTGACCTCGTATAACACTGACCTGACTGATCGCACTCCTGCCACTCCTGAGGAGGATTTGGAAGAGGTAGATCTTTGTCTACATTAAATAATTAATCAAATTTGAGAGTTAAACAGCTGAAACATGTGCAGCTAGAAGTGGAAAGGAAGGTTAATACATTATGCACAAGTCAAGTTAGAGTGCTTTAGTTTGACTTCATTCTTCTTTAATAACAGACTGTTTCTCGTGAAGAGTCAGAGCTTCGTTTTCGTCAACTCACCAGAGAGTATCAGGCTCTTCAGCGGGCGTACGCACTTCTGCAGGAGCAGAACGGAGGCACGCTGGATGCTGAGCGGGAGGCCAGGGTTTGTATCTGCCTCTTTTCTGTAAAGCAGTGCTTACTTTGATATGGGACACTGACATAACTTCGTAATAAAAAAAAAAATTGTAAATGGGTTTGCGCTCAAATCCATGATGGCTGACGTTTCTTCTTCCAGAATCGTGAGCAGCTGCAAATGGAGCTCAGCAGCTGCCAGGCAAAGATTGTGGACCTGGAGAAAGCCCTGGCAGAGAGGGGGCAGGTAGTAAAGATGGGGAACGGGGACAGGAGCTCACTGGTCCTGCTCTTATTGACCCTTCTGCATGTCTGTCTGGCTGCTCTACTTTTTGGATGGCTCTATGCTGATCAGGCAAACCACAGAATCCTGTGACAGCTCTACATGCATGTGTCTCCTCAGTTCTGTGTCTGCATGCTCCGCTTCACTTTCTGTCCTGGTGGACGTTCTTATCAGGTGTCTTTGTTCAAAGAAAGGGCTTAAATTATGTTCATTATGTCAGCTGTAAGTCAAGAAGTACACAAAATATTTGTTTTTATCTTTTTTTTGTTAAAAATGAAATGAAATGCTCAGATTTTTTATAAGGTTTGTGTAAAAGCCATCATGAAGAAAAGAAAACCTTCCCTATTATGTTTAAAAAGCTTGAGAAAATATTCAAATATAAAATATGAAATATAAAAAATATTACATTTCATATAAAAGTCCCTGTTACACTGCATGAWGCATGTTCTGTTTTTGTGGTTTGCTTTGCTGCTGCTTTTTCATCTCAAATTGCCTTTTGTTCCTCCTTATTGGGTACTCCTTTTGACAGTTTGCCTTTTTTTTTCTCAGGAGTGGCCTTTTTTTTGTCTGGCTCAATAAACTTTGGTTACTGATACCCCTCTGCTCCTGTCTTCTTGTGTATGTGTTAAGTTTGCATGTGTCATTTTGAGCTGATCCCTGAGCTGTGGGCTTTGGTTCTTATGGTCTTAAAATCTTTATGAATTAAACCTTGTTACTGAGGTTCTTTACTTCCCTTTGATATGAAATGTAATTTCCTTGCTGATGTTGTGTTTGGTTGTTATGTTAGGATTCAAAGTGGGTGGAGGAGAAACAATACTTGATCAGGACCAACAAGGAGCTGCACGAGAAGGTAGATTACACAGCAAGTATTAGCTTTATTGTTTTAAGATTCCTTCTAAAGAGTTAAAGTAATAATACCAAAACTGAACAATAATTTTCCATTTTTATGAAATATAAAGTTGGCTTAAAGTAAATCATTTTCTTTCTTTGCTTTCTTATTTTTGTTATAAGTTGACTTAAGACCTGACTGATAAATGGGAGATTTTATTAAAATCAGCACCTGACTAAGCATTAAAATATAAGTGTATGGTTGTCCGCAATCAATCAGTGCTAGGCTAAAAGATAGTTCAGCTCTTTAGAGATCTGAGGAAAGGTTGTGAACAAATAATGCTTCTGTTGTGGATGATTTTTAGAGCAACCTCAGTTTGGATAAATGGTTTAATTCTAACTGGGTTTACAAGCTAATATTACGGGTCCCAAGAGTGGTACCACAGCAGTAAAGATAATCCACCTGTAAACAAGCAAATAAAGACTGAGATGACCGGTTGCTGGTGATCAGCTCCTCATCTGAAGCGCATCTGAAGGCAGAGCGGTGGCTCCGCGCCCCCATCGGGACAGATGCAATGGTCCATGTCATGCACTCACAGGTATTAGTCCGTCTAAGGGCAATAGGGATCCAACAACATTACTTATTAGATAAAACAAACATGAAAAACAATAAACAGACTTATGTGTTCACCTTATATTCTTTGGGTGCGCCACACTAACACTAGTCTGAGCAGGGCTTCAACCAAAAAGAAATATTGATGTACAGAGCGGGTCATGCAAACAGTAAAATTATAAATTCCTGCATTGTTTAAGAACTCCCCTTTCCCAAGTTCCATCAGACTTATAAATAAATAAATAAATAAACGTGTGTGTGTGTGTGTGTGTGTTTGTTTGTTTGTTTGCCCTGGAATTCAGAGAAACATGTTTCCAGTTGCGCACATGTCAGTAAACGCTGTGAATCCTCGAATCCTTTCACACTTATTCTTGAATAAAGCCGAAAGCACATGCATCTTCATTCTGCGCACATTCCTCTATTAGAACGTGTGTGGGATCAGAAAATACTCTGTTAATAATTATTCAAGCCTAATAATTCCTGTTGGAAGGGCCTGAGTCTGCACTGGAAGTGCTACAGTTAGCTGCTTCTGCTATTAGTTGTAAACAATTATCACATTATTTTTAATGCACAGTTGGCAACAGTGTAACGAGTTATATAAAGTGTTTGCATGAACTGCTATGTATGACAGTTTTAAGACTGAAGCTGTTTAAAGAAGGCAGCAATCCATTTTGGTCTTGGTCCCACACAGACTAACTGTTAGCTTCTCAGTCTCGTCAGAATTTAACTATTTCTCCAAACTTAGGCCAGTCAAAGCACTATGTACAACAGGTAAGATCTGTTCACAACATTTTCAGAGAGCTCCACATCAGAAGATCCAAACTTGGTTTTGCTCAGTGATTTATATAAATCTTCAGTTTTTTATCATTTACTTTTAGTTCTTGTACTGTGCACTGTAACATTGTATGATTGTGTTTTCTGTAGATCTGTACGTTACAGCAGGCGGAGTCGCGGCTCCAAGCTGAGGTTCAGGACTCCCGGGACCAAAATGAGCTGCTTGAATTCAGGGTGCTGGAACTGGAAGTAAGAGACTGTACCGCCCTCAAACTGCCACCAGGAGGCGAAAATAATCTCAGCTCTAGGCGGAAAACATACATACAGTGACTCAAGACGCACACGTTCACATTCCTTTACATACAAACAGTTCCTTTCTGTTCCCTATTGTATGCATCTGTGTTCCCCTGTTCTGCATGGCAGCTGTGAGCATATCCCTTCACTGAACTGTTTTTTATGAACAAATTTGTAAAAATGAACATAGTTTTTATTGGAATAAAATATATTTAAGTTCACCATCCATTTCAAACTTTGATTTTGTTTGTCATGTTTTTGAATGCATGCCCTAATTTTGGTTATATTTTCCATAAAGTAAAATTTATAAATAATTGAAAACAAGACTGATATGTAACAGGACACAAGTTTTAATTTAATTAGTATGAAAATGGTATATAAATTACATTTACGTGCATAACCATATCAGTCAATCCTAATTTCTTTGAACTGCAGTTTTGCTTCCGTGTTGGAAAAAGGACATTAGTGGTTTTGAGTTTTAGCATGCGTCCCTGTTGGTTTGTTTTTATTTTTCCTTGAAAGTTTTTGGGTTTTCACCTCCATCGTTTTGGCAGATCCTGACCAATATTTTCAGTGTCATGTAAGTAAATCCTCATTCCTTCCCATTTCACCCTCCACACTTTTACATTCAATATATAAGTTATTTTATTCCTCTCACTGCTCACCATCATTTGTGTTTAAAACACTGCCATAGAGATGTTTTCGTACTAACACTGCATGTGATCTTGCAGGAAAGAGAACGGAGATCTCCTGCTCTGAATCTCCACATGTCCACATTTCCTGAGAACAGTAGCAGTGCCCTGCAGATCTACTGCCACCAGGAGGGAGTGAAAGTAACCTTAATCAATTAAAAACATATTTACTTTAATGCTCACAAACATGCAAAACAATGTCCTGGTATTCTTTTCTTTACAGGATGTAATCATCCCTGAGCTGATGAAGAAGCTGGATATTCTGGGAGATAATGGGGTTAGTTTGCTCACAGCCTTTTAATATTACATGTATTTAGTCAAGTCATTTATGAATATTCTTTTGATTATTTTCTGTAGAATCTCAGAAATGAGGAGCAGGTTGCAGTGATCCAGGCTGGGACAGTGATCTCACTCTGTGAAAAGGTCAATGGAAAGTTGTGTATTTGTTGCCACATGCTGGACATGTGCTAATACTGCAGTTTACCTCTGCTGACCTAATGAACTGCACTTAATTTTACACAATTCAGCTCATCTTTTTTAACATGATCAAAAAAGCGTGGACACATCTGCCTGGTGCTGGCTTCTCTTATTTAGCTTCCTGTTCATTTTAGAATTGCTTTTAATACAGCATGAGATATGCTAACATTTTTGTTCCATTTTAATGTTTTTATTTTGTGCCTTGTGTTTTTAATTGTTGTATGACCATCATTATTGTGTGCAGTGCTTTGGCCAACAGAGGTTGTTTTTAAATGTGTTATATTAAACATTTAGTTTTGATTTGACAGTAGGAAACTGATGACATTTTTTTGTTTATTTGGGCAGTGGTTAAAGCAAATAGATAACACAGAGGCTGCCCTGACACAGAAAATGATTGACCTGGAAAATGACAAAGTGAGAAATTGATTCATAAATGCTTTATTTATATAAAAAATCCCTAAGTCAATAATTAACATAACATTGCAAACAGCCTTTTTTAATGTCAATTTGTAAATCTACATTTTTGCAGGAGTTGTTCAGTAAGCAGAAAGGATTTCTTGAGGAGGAGCTGGATTACAGAAAACAGGCCTTGGATCAAGCCTACATGGTAGGAGTTTTGTATCTACGTTACACTATGTGGTTATGGTTTTTTATAGGACAAACTCAAGTAGAATTTGACTAAGGTTGTGTGAAAGCAAAAACATCTCATGATAAATTACTGAAGAAACAGGAGAGCAGGTCTGTCATTTCAGCATGATACATACACATTTGGGACCCCATTAATTATCATTAATACAACATTCACGTTCCATGAAAGTAAAATTTGTCACATTGTGTTGGGATACTGCATCTTTTACTACTGAAGTCTAAATTTTGTTATTTTTGGTCCAAAAACCACTGAGTTGTATGTAGCTGTTAATGACCTGATCTTATTGTGAAAATAAAGCTTAGAATGTTCACAGTGTTATTGTGTTTGTTTTAAATGGAGGCAACAGAAAACTCCAGAGAAACTATGTTGGATAGACTTTGATTGCTATTTATTTTTATTTTTTTGTTCAATTGAGTTGTATCCATCTTTTCTCCTGGTTACATACACTTTACCCAGACACAGGACATGCTCCATATCTACTCATTTAAAATCTAATTTTTGATGTTAGTCTGTGTTTTAAGATTTCCTTGGACATTGTGTTGGTCAAATTATGTTTTGATGACATTTTCCTTTCATGGTGGAGAACAAAAATGTTTGTTGAATAAAAAGAATTACCAAGTCTAAACATACCCACCAATGTTATGTGGAAGAGTGTTCCCCAAATCCAACATGGTCACAGTCCTGTGTGTGTATCTGTGTGTGTGGATGTGTGTGTGTGTGTAAATGTGTTTTTGTCTGTGTGCCCCAATGTGCTTACTTGTGCATGCCTGGATGCGTTTCTGCACGTGCATGTCCCTGTATGCGTGTGTCCCTGTGTGCGTGTATATGTGGCTGGCTGTGCAGAGGATCGAGGAGCTGGAGGCCACGCTGTATAGCGCTCTGCAGCAGGAGCAGCCGGCATGCCGCGCGGTGGCCGAGTCGCTGACAGACAGGCAGAGGGAGGAGCTGAGGCTAGCCGTGGACAAGCTGCGGCGTCAGATTCTCCGGCAGAGCCGGCAGTATGACAGTCAGATCTTACAGGAGCGCATGGAGCTCCTACAGCAGGCGCAGCAGGTAAGGCTTGAATCAAACCCAGTCAGGTTCTTGAGTCCTGCCTGTCCTCAGTCTGACCCCTGGTATCTGTCTGAAACTTCAGACCCCCACCAGAGCTCTGGTGCTATAAAAAAGATGCAGTATCCCTGTGTGTGTTCCCTGTATCTGTATCTGAAAGTGCAAATGAAGAAGTGGAAGAGCAAAAGATAAGACAGACTGACTTTGTCTATGTGTGAGTGTGTGTTGCATTGTGAATTTAATATCCCACCTCCTTTAGTATCCCTCCACTCAATCAGTCTGATGTGTAGTTTTAACACATTGTTTTTGCTACTGTTGTTCATCGACTACATCACAGCATTTCAAACTTCATTCAAGTTCATTGTAATCTGACTTACTAACTTTGAAACCTCTAACTTGAAAGACTAATTCCTCATAAAGCTCAATACTAATTCATTAACTATGCTCAAACAAACTATACATTTAAAATCAAGTATTAGGAGTCAACAGACATCTGTTAAGTATAAGTTAAACCTGTTCTGTGTGTGTAGCTTCTGTGGGTCAAAGTTGTTTTCTGCAGACTAAAGTTTTTAACTCTGATGTGTCAGGAGAGGAATCAGAAAACAGGAAGATGGAGTCATTTACACAATCCATTATTAAGTCTGTTGTGTACTTGCTGTGCCTTCTTATCATACAAATCTGTTATGAAGTCATATAACAAGATGGAAAAAAGCAACATTACATGGAATAAAAAAAGAACAGAGTTTTAGGTGTTTACAGCGTTCATTATTTTCATTAAAGAAGCTTTCAAGATAGTTTTACTTAAATATTTTTTTCATGTTTTCACCAGCTAATCACGTCTGTGTCTGTTTTGCAGAGAATTAGAGAGCTGGAGGACAGGATTGACATGCAAAAGATACAAATAAAGGAAATTGAGGAAAAGGTACAAACTTAATTTGCTTTGGATTTTTTTTGCATGATTGATAAAGTCCCTGTAGAAAAAAAATATCCTTTATGTTGTGTATCAACGGAAATATTTTAACACTCCCTTTTCTGTTCTCTATTCTCCATTTTTTTTCCAATTTTGTGTTTCTTTAGTTTTTGTTCCTCTTTTTATTTTTCTCTTTAGCATTTATTCTTTGGCCTTAAAGAAAATGATCATGGACTCTCATCAGGTATAGCTTTAAATCATACTGGTCCATTAATATTTAGGATAACTTACATTTAAATATATTGTATTAAAAAATAAGTATAATTTATAAATATATTTTTCTCTTTTTTTAGGTTTTGAGATGCTAAGGCAAGCAAAGATGAAAAACAACTGTTTTTATGATTTCTGAAAAACTTATGGCCTTTTTGATAAAACATGCACTTTGCAGAAGACCCTTACTTGGAATGCAACATGTTAGTAACTTATTAAATAACTGTATATATCTGAGATTAAAGTGAAATTATTTATAATAAGAAGCTACAATAGCGTTTTTTGGGACCTTTTAAATACTTCTTGTGAGAAGAAAACAATGTATTTTTTTTTGAGAAAAAACTCAGAGGATTTTATTGGAATGGGGGAAAACCCACAGCCTCTGCTGAAGGAATGCTCAGTGGAAAAGAAGCGATGGAGGGAGGAGAAAAACAAAAGTACAGGGTTGAATGAGGGGGAGAAGAGGCTGAGTGCCAAATGGACATGGAGAATTCTTGTAACGTCCAAGATCCGTGGTGTTTCTAAGGAGACGAGTGCAACAAAGTTTACAGATCAGACACTGGACCTACTGAAGTCTGGATGAAAGGATCACACTACAATCAGTGGAAAGGGAAAAACAGGTTAGTATTAAAGTTTTGTTTTTGTCACTTAGCTAAATTAAATGTCACGTGACTTTTCAGTGTTTTGGGTGGTAAGAATCAAAAAAATTATAGCAGTTGAACATATCCACCAACTTAAATGTTGGCTATATTTGTTTACAAACAAGTTTGAGGTTTCATTGTTTTAATGTCTTTGATAAGTCACTATCTACAACCTCTAAAACATCAAAGATTTAAGGATGTGTCATGCAGTGTAGGAGCTTTAAGAATGAGGAGGATGGTTAGAAGGTGGGGTAACCTGAGAGAGACCAGGACTCAACAACTTGCTGCCAAGCTGTTGACGTGTTGAATAATAAATGGCTTTATTTTAGGTGTATGTAACTTTTTGTTTGTCCTGTTTTAACAAATACGAAGATTTGATAAAACCTGCAGCTCGGAGAAGCAAAAGGAAAATATCTTACAGACTTTCTGTATTCACTTCTTTTTATCAGTTCTCGTGCTACAAGTCCATTTTTCTCAGTGGAGAGAGGCTGATCGGTGGAGGATCACATGACCTGAACAGACACGGAAGAAGCAGCTCAGCTACCGTGGTAACAGACTATAGGGACTGACAYGGACTCGCAGGTTGTGGATAACGTAGGCGAGTTCGTGAAGCAGAAAGCAGATTGGCCGTCCAGTCTGAAAGCTACCTGAGGAACAGGTGAGAGCCTAGAGGAGAGGTAATCCAGTAACACACACACACACACACACACACACACACACACACAC